CATACATACATACATACATAAATATGCACATGTTATACTATAATCAATTTATCTCTCTGTCTGTCTATCTATCTATCTATCTATCTATCTATCTATCTATCTATCTATCTATCTATCTATCTATCTATCTATTCATTTATCTATCTATCTATCTATCTCTCTCTCTTTATCCCTCCCTTTTACACGTCACATCAGATTCTACGTCATGCACTTAAGTTGCTCTTTTCTTCGTCAAAAGTAACGACTGATGCCAAAGACATTGTTTTGGAATGAACTGCGGGGTCTAACAACGAGAGGGGGCACGTGGGGATCGAGTTGATGAACGCCAGGGTAGAAGATATTCGGAGACGTCTCCGGTGAGCACCCAGGAACTATTCCGAGACGCACTCCCGCACACAGATGCACTGCTTTGGAGGGGTCAAACGGTCAAACTGCGTATCGTTCGCTGCAGATCTCACATAATAGAGCCACTAAAACTGTTGCAAATCAATTATTTTCAAGAAAATTTCAAACCTAACAGCAAAATGTCAAATTATGGGCTAAAACACGGGGGGGGGGGGCGCATGCCCTGTGTAACCCCCCAGATTTTTTTACTTGGTCTAGAGGCACAAAGTATTTTGATTGGTCTATCTCCGCCGGAGACGTCTCCGAATAGATACTACAGAACGTCAGACTGAAGTGGCCCGTGTTGTTCACGACGTTCAAGAGCGACAGCGTCAGTGAGTTCGGGGCACAGCGAAAAAAAGTTTGCTCCTAGGAGTGGTCAGGTGTGTCTCAAACCAGCTCCTCATGGAGACAATTAGCAGGAAGACCCTGAGGTGGACGCTGAAAAGGAGAGATGAGCAGCTAATGACATGTGTCGCCTGCTATGATTCTAGCCCTGGATCCAAGTAAATCCAAGTAATCCTACTTATCTAATTTGGTTACGAAGTGGGCCAAAGAGCGGAAATCTAAAGTTCTGTCCAAGCACAATAAGAATATTTCTCAACCTGCCATTAATCATTTTTTCCTGTCTAGGAGACAGAAAGGATATAATATTTTTTGTTACAAAATTGCTATTTGTTAGTTAAAATGTATAACACCCGGTGCTGGGGGGCTCCTCGGGAACATTACAACAGTGTAATAATTCAAAGTTAAAGACAAGAAAAAGTAGGCATTGGAAGAGAGCAAGGTTTCCAATTTACCAATCCTTCAACTATTACTTACTCCTGTGGTTGGTATGACTAAAATAACGAACTCTTCAGAAACAAAGTGCCGCTAATGGATAGACAGTGAGAGAGATCAGAAATGTAAAAGTAGCTGTATCTTGATCAATTGAGAGACTGCAGATTTACCAAAGAGTAACCTCTCAACTCTTCCACTGACCTAACTCCTATCGTGGGCATGAGGAAGGTGGCGAGTCCCGTCATCAACATGGTGGCACTCAGCAGGTGTGCCTTGATAGACTCCTCTTGTGTGGCACACACGATCTCAGACACGATGACAACTTTGCTCAGAGGGGATGCGATACACAGCAGGCATTGCTGTAATGGACACGAAGCGAGACAAGGGGCAGAGGATAAAAGCGATAACAGTCGAGAAAACCTTTGCTATAGATTTCGTCTTTGTATACCTAAGGGCTATGCCATCTACTTAGTCTTCAAGATCATCACTCATAACCATATCAAGAAAGATATAGAAAGGGAAAGTGGAGACAAGGTAACCCTGGCGGACTCTAATGAGTTCGTGTGGAACCAGTCTCCGGGTCTAACATGGACAAGTACTGTGATCTCTAAATAGGCGAAGAGCTGCTTAGTGGGTTGTTGTTTTATTGTTGTTGTTGTTGTTTTTTAGTAGGTTGTTTTTTTTGAGGGGGGTTGCTCGCTTTTGTTCGATACTGTAAACCTTAATTATGCTCATATTGAGTCATACCATATACTGTGACAAACACTTTTTTAAAATCAATTAAGAAGTGGTACACACTATTGTCTGTTTTCCCATTCTCTGTCTGTCTGTTTGTCTGTGTTGTCTTTCTCTCTCTCTCTCTCTCTCTCTCTCTCTCTCTCTCTCTCTCTCTCTCTCTCTCTCTCTCTCTCTCTGTGTGTCTCTCTGTCTGCCTGTCTCTCTCTCTCTCTCTCTCTCTCTCTGTGTGTGTGTGTGTCTCTCTGTCTGCCTGTCTCTCTCTCTCGCTCTGTGTGAGTGTGTGTGTGTATGTGTGTGTGTGTGTGGGGGGGTCCTTTTTTTCTTGCAGATTGCCATGGGCTGCAGGGTGATTGGCGTCTTGATCAATGTTTTGGGGCAATGTTTTTGCAGGTAGATGCCAGGATGCCAACAATGGTATGTCCCCTAGCATGTTCAGGAGAGATATGATTATCTCTAACTGACTTTCAGCACGTCAGTGATTATATATAGGCGTTTGCGCCTAGGAAGTCAGTCCTTTGAGGCCATCTTAATGTATTGCCTCCTGCTCCGGGTATGTTTGGAACAATGGGGCTTTCTCTTCCTTGGTAGCTGTTAAAATGTGAGCAGTGCTCTGTTCGTATTTGCATTACATAACTGACCACGTGACAAATTACCTTGAAACTGTTGAACATATTGCTCTTAGTAGGACCTTCGAATGAGCAATGTTGCATTTCTGACATTGTGGAAACAAGTGTTCAAATATGAGTTCCACATTTTGGGTAGATTCAAAATTAATTTGCGAAGTGGCAACTTCATAAGCCCCCGTGACCAGGTTTAGATTATTCGGGAGATAAACGGCTTTGACCCTGCCTAGCGTCACAAACACATATAGATAGATAGATAGATAGATAGATAGATAGATAGATAGATAGATAGATAGATAAAAACTTGAAATACTTAATTAAATATCATCCCAAGAAGGCAACTGAATCTGCGTCCATTTCATACAAGGCAAAATTGCTCAACTTAGCCGTAATCCTACATACACGGCCATCAGCCATGTAACGGCCACAAAGAATGAATAAACGTAAGTTAAGAAACACTTTAGGTTTGACCATTGCAACCATGTTCCATTAAACCTTTTGTTTTAGACAGAGTGAATGATATGTACATGTATAGACTAAAATTCGCAAGCCAAAGTTCATTCTTTACTTTACTTTTTACAAAATAGCATAAAAAGGAGACACTCGAAATGTAATCCAGCCAGCAAAGAAAAGCGTTAAAGGGCTAAAACCCACTCAAGAGGATTACTCGCCAATTATTTCGGGTTCAGCTCGACACTTTTTTAAAGACACCACAGAAGAAACCTGGCTAAACCTGAAAGCAAATGGAAAGCAATTTTATGACCACGTCGTCACTTCAATATATTTTGTCTGAGTGACACGCGGATGTCCAGTCAGAATTATAAAAGGTGGAAGGTGGACGTTATTTTGTGAAATTATATCCTTTATAGTTTCAACGTTGAATGAATTATTACATGTAACCACTTCCAAGGAATGCTTTCGAAATTTCTAAACTTAAGGTTTAAATTTGGCATCCTTTATAATGTTTTGTCTGTAAGGCAAAGCTTTAAAAAAAACAGAAAATTAATACAAATGCCCCTGAGACGCAAATTAATGAAGGATTATTTTCATCTAGGTGGTTTTACGTTCTGCCTCCGTTGACACATGTGAATTATCCAGAAAGCGCTCTTCAACCCTGTCTGCCAAGGTCAACCTGAAGCAAAACGTCTCAACATCAAGGCCGAGGTACGCGAGAAAGATGCTCCCCACACTGGAGTCGAACTCAGTTTTTTGTGTGTGCAACGTCGAAGTGACTAACCGCTACACCACAGATGCCGGTAATAAGCCACAGATGCTGGTAATAAGTAATTAAGGACTGAACCAGTGGCTCGTAAAAAAGGAAGCTGAAAAAGTTTACCTGACACGCGCTCTGTGATCGTAGCGAGAACAGTTTGCAACGTCCATGTCAAAATAGAAATGATGAATTCTGCTCAGCATTTTGATTCTGGTATACCATAATACCGTCGGTGTATGCTACGCAAATCTGATATTTTACCTGCATTGCAAACATGATGAGTAGATGAAACGGTGGATTATCGGACACATTGTAGACAAGAGGTCTGTCGTGGTCAGTGTCTTCAATAACAACTACAGGCTCTGTCTCGTCATGAATCTCCTCCCATGTACCATTCTCTCGGAGAGGAGAGGTAGGATCACTTGTATCGGTACAATCGTCTCCAGCATCGTCCTCTTCTCCAGTTATGTTTAAGTCTTGCGTTACTCTACAACGCGACATCCTGCAGCTGTTGCAACCTCACTCCGCTTGTCAAATACGCAATCACCTTATAAAGTACTATCTCTTCAACGTTCAAATTCCTCCGCTTCTTCAACTTACAGGTGGAAGCTGATCTACAAAAGTAGTAAGCAGGAGACACAGAGCACTATAAATAAGCATTCGTTACACTCGTGCGTGTGAATACGTGCTTTATTGCTCGATATTGTAATAAAATGCAAAATGGTAGAACTTCTGTGGAGTGTTGTCCAAAATATAGTATCAAGTTCACCAAGAAACATAATACTCAATCTGCAAAAATGCACTCTTATACGTACGGACATGTTGTGGGCTTGAACATTTACACACACACACACACACACACACACACACA